GCCCATCTTTTTTCTTTTTTGAAAGGTGGACTTGATGAGTGGAAATGACTGGCTTTTTTATTTAGTCTGCCACGGATTTCTTTTTTTTCATCTAACCCACCCCCACTGTCCTTTCTGACATCACAGTCAAAGGAAGGGGGCGGGGGGAGACAGGAGGGGTGTGAGTGGGACGGTGGGGGACATCATTGGCATAATTGGGGGGGCGGCCCCCCCTGGTCACTTTTTATGCATACTAAATGTGATTGAACAGCATTTTTGTATTAAGACACCATAAGGCGCTAACAGTGGGCATTTCACACCTACGTGTGAAATACACATCACCCCCCTCCTATCGACGGATCTCACCGCTACTTGGGATATCACACCCTACTTGGGATACTCCACACCTCGAATAAATGGGAGGCGGGACTTAGACATCAATTTGCATAATTCGGGGCGGGCCCACCTTACTTTTTTATGCATACTAATGTGATGGATGCGGCATGAATAGTATACTACTCCGTATGCATTTGCTAAATGTTCACACGTCATTGTCCATATTTTCCTATTTAATATAATAGTGCTTTACTTCCTGTAAGTCTTCTTCTGACTAGTTCCTGTACGTGTTTACTTTCCTTCTGTCTCCTTCTGATTTAGTTTTTGATGCCCGGCACCTTTTTTAACCTCTTTCTGTCTGCTGCTGTTTTTCTTTTCTGTGCTCGGCATACGTTTAGCAAATCATGAATCCAAGGTTTAATGCTCACCCAGGGGTCGGCGAACCCCTGGCATCGCGTGCCAGCATCCTGGCACGGCGGCACGTAACCAGTGGCACACTAGGAATAAGTGGAATAAGCGTGCAAAATATTTAAATTACATTTTCGGATCCTGAACGCGAGACCGCCGCCAGAGCGCGTCTCCCCGTTACCTGCAGAAGGAAGCCATGCCCGCAACGCAGCCCCGCTCTCTTTAACTCCCAGGTGACTTTCTTGCCGCTTTCCTCCGTGGTGCCAGTGCTGATCCGTTTCACCCACGGAGTAAAGCACTCCACCTAATTGCAGTACCCATAAGGGCTGTACAAATGACGCAGTTTTTGCGTGGCTGTGTTTATTTAGTTGAAAGCCCAGTGGCGGAAACTGCTCATCTTTCATCGAAATAAATATGCTACAAGGGGCGGACTGGCCATCTGTGTGTTGAACTTTCCTGTCGGCTCCCAGACCGTAGTCCGAGGAGGGGCCAGAAGCAACCAAGCTTCAGGTTTCAATAACCCACTTTAGGCTTAAAGTGACTGGAGAAGGGCGCGAGCTCTTCTTGGGAGGCCGTTGCATTTATTAGCTGTTCTTCTGTTTCACAAAATACATCACAGACCTCTGTTTTTCTGCTTCCCCCGTTTCACTTCCAGGAAACATACACACGTTCCCTCAACTGGTCGCTCTACCATTCACAAACACACATGCACAAGCGCACCCCTCTCTCTCTCTCCTTAAAGGCGACAGCGATCTCTTCTCACTCTGCATGATCCCATGTGTGCTCTGGAGAATCACAGAACGGACGATCGTCCTTATTATTATGCCGTTTAAACCAATTATTTAAATGTGATTGTCCACACACTGCTTCCCCGCAGCGAGGCTCCCCCGCCCTCCTGCTGATAGTTGACGAGCGTCAAGCTCCTCAACCCCCCCCCGTTGATAATTCTCAATCGTTGGCACGCTGATAACATTTTTTTTTTTAAATGGCACTTCATATCAAAAAGGTTGCCGACCCCTGCTCTACACGAATATAAAAGGGAATATTCTAATGTATACCATGGTGGTTTCTGATGGATACAAAACAAATGTCCGTTGTTCACAGCTGACCTTGAAACAACAGCTTGATTAAAGACACTAGGCTAATCCCGTGAGCAGAATAATTGTAGGCAAACAGGAGTTAAACAATAATGATTCTAACTCTAATAAAGCATTATGAATAAATGAAGAAAATCCTTCACTAATGTTGACAAATACTAATTATGCTATTATTCCCCACCATTATTATGAGCTGAGCTGCATGCACTATTATGTTCTAGGCTAGGGTAATAGAGCTTAAAGGTTGGGGATTCTTGGGACTGGAAGGTTGCCAGATGGAATTAAGCTTGTTAATCACATTGAAATGAGGGGTTTATTTAAAGGGTGTTAAAACCAGACTGCTTTCTTCAAATTACATTCCCTTAAAAAGCGATCAGATTGCATTTTTTTAACATTTTCAGTAATGTCAAAGCACTTTGTTTAAGGTGAGAAAAATAGATTTTTAGAATCACAACCTCTACTTTACAGTTCATTACTGTATGTGTACTGAATTGTTATTGTTGAGCTTTAGTGGTGCATATGTTTAACTTTTGACATACTATATATGACAGCAGCGCTACGTCACTGCCTGGCAAAATGGCGGCCCCCCCACTTTCCAGTCAAAACTGAAAAATCAAAAGAATTGGCGCCATGAGGAATCAAACCTTTTTACCATGCCTAAAAGCTGCTGTGTCGTTGCACCTCAAACAACAAAAAAGATGCAGAAGAAATTATTTTCTTTACTTTTAGTTAAAAAAAGTTAAAAAATACGTTAAAAGTAAATAACTATGGGTTCAGGCCTCCACGAGATGACGGAGATAATAAACAATGGGGACCCTGCCGGTCAATACATGTACATCTGTAGGAAACACTTCATCACAGCAGAACTATGATGCTAACGAGCTTACCGTCTATCAAAGTTAGAAATTGTAATGGTAAAAATCAAAATAGTGAGTGTAGATGCTACATTGAAATATAGAACACTGAGAAGCCAAGGAGATGACAGTTTGTGATGTTGTGAATTAAACCAAAAATGTACACCAATCATTGATCTCCAATGACATTATGTAGCTGTTGCCTTTCTAACAATTGTAATTGGGCTCTTTATAGATTTAACTTTTTACTTGGCCAACTGTCACTGTTAGCACAGTTAATCTGTTCAATTATGTAAGTATTTTGTCAGTATATTTGAAATGTCCAGGTTAGCTACATTAGCTCGCTAGTTTACAGCAGATCCGCAATAAATTTCGGAAGGAATCATGTGATCACATTGATTAAAAAAGTAAATAAAACGTACATTTTACGTACATTTCCAGGGACGTTTGCCCACTTTTATAACCCCCACACGTCAGTAACAGACTGGCCCCAGCTGTGCGCATCACTTTTTAGTGTCCCTGTTTCCGTTGTGTTGAGCCTCTTGCTCTGTATTTGCAGCATGTTCGTTTATGCAGCGCTTTTAGTAAACGCTGCGCATGTCTGGTCATCGTTAATGAAGATGTGTCTTAATTTGCATGTGTTTTGGCACATGTTTGTTTTCATATTTGCATCGTTTTTGAAAAAGCAGTGCGTTTCTCGAAATAGATTCTTAGTGTTTTTTGCCGTTGAAATGCATTTGCACGTCAACCACTTTAGCAGTCTATTCCAATGTGACTTTCCAACAAAATGCCATTATGCTGTAGGCCACTAAATTACAAAATTATAGTACTACATATTACAGTAATAACACGTGCGTATCAAAGTGCGTGCGTGGGTGTCCCTTTTTGGAAAGATAGAACACATTTCAACACACTAGTTATTTTTCTGTTATTACCCTGCCCTTTTTCTGATCACTGCTGTGACATTTTAGTTACAAGATGAGCTGTTCCTTCTGTCCTTTTTAAACCACAGAGGGGCTAACAGTACAAACAGTGCATGACGTGTTGGGACTGTGCGCTTTGTGGCTATTTTAAGTGGCCTTGGGCAGAGTGCAGGATTTTACCGACACTGCACAATTTTAACAAGAATCTCCTGCCGCCTAACACACGTCTTCCTCAGTCAGTCATAGACCATTTGCTTCTTTCCCTCCTCTCTTACTCTACCTGTACATTTCCCCTCTTTTCTTATGAGATGACAGTACGGAGACGAAACAGGTCCACAAAGTCTGCCGGAGCTTCACTGCTCTCACTTACACATCAACTCCCTTCTTACCTTCATCTCTGCTTCTCCTGCTCCTTTGTTCCCTCATTCTCCTCTGTCATCACACGTTATCCCAGAGAATTGGACCCACTCAGGTTTGTCCCTGAGGCTTGATGCTCTATTCTCTCTCGCCTCTCCCCTCATTATCTCAGCCTCTCTGAACCCCGAGAGAGCATTTTTAATTGAAGCCAGTCCCCCTGCTACTTCTCGTAGCTCTGCTCGCTCTGATAATTGGGCGAGACGTTCACAAATCCTCTCTTTCGCTCTATCCGTTCTATCCCTCTCAGATGTCACTCTGTGGCTCCTAATGGTCCAGTACTTGCAGTAATCACCTTTGGACAAGTTGTGAAATAATAAATGTCAGCCTAATCTTCTCCCCCCTCCTCTAACTGTGACAAATCAGTTCAGCTGTTGTAGTGGGATGAAAATGAAACAAAACTTTCCTGAGCAGATTCTAAATGGTTATGATATGATCTGTACGAGGATCTAGCCTGGGCCGGAAAGAGGCCTTGAAATGCTTTCGGGGTCTTCCCTTCCCTATGTGTTATATTGGTTGTTGTGGATGTAAATGGTCTGCAAAGGCTAAAATCCCTGGGTTCCCTCCAGACGGAGTTTCTCTCCAACACACTACCGCCCCCTCCATCCCCCCCTTCCTGAAACGCCTCCATTGGACTCCTTTGTTAATTTCCGTAACATAATGACATCACTATGTGACACTTGTGCATCCAACACATTGTACGTGATAGGGTAAGGGCCCGGACATTTCTGACATCGCTAAGTGGTTGACCTCTGGTTTCAGACAGAGGGTGGAAAGAGGTTTAGCAGCACAGACAGTATGAGAAAAATAAAGACCTTTCTGAACATTAAAACATATAAACATGTCATAGTAGAAGCACAAAATACATATATGAACCTAACAATTAGCATAATAGAGCCCCTTTTGTATTGCCAACAACTATGCACTCCATATTTTGCATAATGACAATAGAATCTTTGAAACTACATTATGTTGCAAATGTTGACTCAACTTTTCGTGCGAGGTGTAAAGTATGAAGTAAGATTGTAGTCAAATTGATATCTGCAAACACTGCTGTACATTTTGAATAGCAAGGGCAGGCACATCACTGTACATATCTTAAAATCTCCTAAATGTATTTCTACTGAAGAAAATTGATTATGCTCCATTACTTGAAAAATATAAAGCATCACAATCAATGAATGGGCACAAGATTTGAACGGAAAAACTAAAAAGCCTTTTTTCTTTGGCATCTCCTGCGTTCACTTAACACCCCTTTGTGTTTCTCTCTCAGATGACACACCAGAGACATGTATCTACTCAGCCTGGTCTCCCTGGTCGGCCTGTAGCAGCTCCACGTGTGAAAAAGGACGCAGGATGAGGCAGAGGATGCTGAAGGCCCAGCTGGACCTCTCTGTGCCGTGTCCCCACACTCAAGATTTCCAGCCCTGCATGGGCCCGGGATGCAGTATGGAGGGTAAAATCGCACACAGACATACAATACAGAAGATTTATGAGAATTGGGTTGGGATGTGGGGGACCACAGTTGTGAAAAATGTAGGTAAGGTTTTCCCTAAGCTAGGCACTGTACTGTAATTGTAATGAACAGATGGAACCATCTATAAGGGCCTCAGCAGGTCGGTGAGGGTCCCTGCTGAGAATTATTTTCCTTTGCTCAACAAGTCTTTGGCCCTTAGGAAACCAGCTGCAATGGTTTATTCAAAGCACTGATGGATACTGCTGCAGTTTAACTCAGCTGGTCTTATCGTATCTGCCAGGAGAGAATGTTCCTCCATCACAGACACAGAACAGCTTGATTTTTGTATGCATAAAATAATGACGCTAGTTAACGGTTATATCGTATTCCCTCCATAAAAGCTGGTGAGTTAAAAATGTTATTAATAATATAAACTACAGTACTTTCAAGGTTTACTTGAAAAGCTAATGATAGTAGTGCACTGACACCTTATTGAAGTTCAAGCAACTACTGTGTGTGAGGGAAACACTGTGTTGACCATGGCATAAACATTGACAACGATATTTCAGTGAACCTTAGCGGGGTTTTTTAGAAATATTATCAATTTTAAAACCTGCAATTCAAACAATGGGCAATGTAACAGTTGTATCAAGTCACGGCCAAGTAAGGAACCAGGAGGAGGGGGACAAACTACCAGAGTCTGGCATTTAGACGACATTCGGCTGTCAGATGGCTGTCAGCCGGCTGGCCTTAAACTTGGAGGGGAACACCCAAGTGGATGCATCTCTAAGTGATCAGCCGCACTTGTACTGGGAAGAGGTTATTTTGTAGAATTATAGAGATATAAACCGATCACAACAGAGCCGGCCAGGCTGTCTGCCGGCTGGTCTTCAACTTGGAGGGGACCACTTGTGGGTGCGACTGTAAGGGTTCAGCTGCTTTTGTAGTGTGGATGATTTTTGTTTGTAGAATCATCAAGATTTAAATTAGAGTGATTTGGAAAATAACCAACTGCAAGAGGAGCAGGGTGGATCTAGATGCTGAAGACAAGAGCACTTAACAGCAAACACTTTCATTAAAGGTTTGGTCTAGATACAACTAATGAGGGGATAAAGTGCAGGTTTACAGGAGGTCAGGTGGTTTTAGGGCTAATGGGAAACAGGTTAAACTAATAAGACAATCAAAACAGGCTGGAAAACACACAAAGACAGGAAGTAAAACCAGACATGACACAGTTTGAGAAAACAGTTAAACTAAAAAGTAGGTTAATGACACGAGTATTCTCAGCCATTTGCCCATTAATAAATAACAGTTATTTGGTTCTGTCTAGGCACTTCTAGAAACAGAGCCAAACAGCTCATTTTTTATTCACCTCATTACATTAAATGCAACTGCTCTTTTATGACCACTTAACATGTCCTAAAAGGGAACTCTTACCTCACCAACGAGCCTTCACAGTCATAAAATCCACTTACTTTTTACAAGTAAAAAGTGCACAATGAATTAAAATGGTAAAAAAATAAAATGGTTAATAAGTAACATTTGTACTGCTCTTTGGCCATGTTTAGGTTGGTAGTCTATGGCAATGGCAGCCTATCCATCATATAAGAATTGGCTTAACTGCAACTATTGAATAGTTTGACATGCAATGTCTTTTACATATATTTCTGCTTAAAGGACAAATTTGATTGTAAACTCAAACATCGGTATTTCAAGATGTCTAATTTTTTGGTTTGTCATTTCCAATGGCCTCGGTTGAACTTTTTGGTTTTTGGTCATTTGGAATTGTTAACATAATAACACAGTAACATACTGTAAAATGGCCAATCTTGTAATACCCTTCCATTGCAGATGATCCCTGCAGCAGAGGGAACTATATCTGAAATGAAACGTCTTTAGGAAGCCATTTTACAATTGGAGGCACTATTGTTTGCAACACATGAGACTGAAGTGAACAAAACAGTGATTCAGAGGACAAGCACAGGCGAGAACTACAACTGTTTAACATATTACAGACAATGAAAAGGCTTAAGGTAAGGCAGTAAAGGACATTCCACGTTTTTTAAAGTTTCCAACACTAGGTCTGTATTCAAGTTTAGCAAGGGGACAGACTTTGTTTTACCTTCTGTTTTTCATGAGTGATACATGTCCTCTTGTGTTGTGACTATATCTCTATGATCATAAGCAGAAACCACTTTCTTTTGATTTCAATTAAAATACGTGCTAAACGTCGAACAGCAGCCCAGCATCAGTCCTATTAACAACACTTTATGCAAATCAGATGTGGCTTAGCTTGTTTATTACATCTATGATCGTAGTCAATACTCCTCTTAATTAAATTGTTGTCTGCCAATAAAAACATAGGGTGGCAGGATTAACCAATATCTCCCATTGTCATGTTCTTAATATTACAGGATACACATTTAAAACAAAAATGTGCACTTTGTTTTAAGTTAAACTTCTGCGTTTGTAACACTCTATAACCTATTCTACTTGTGTTTTTTAGGTAATTAATAGTTTAGGCCACAAAGAAGAAAAACCTTTTACTTTTAAACTTAATAGTTCTGACAGTTTGAAAGTCTGCTTAAGCATTTCATCACACACAAACTGTAAGCATTAAATCACAAGGATTTCATTTTCTTATGAGTTGGGGTGTTTATATCAACAAGAGGGGTGATCAGTGAACCCTGAAAATAATAAGCAGATTAAAGCTTAGCCGTTTCAGACCATTTTTTGTTTATTTTGTCTTAAACTTTGGAATGTGTGCCGCTTCCTAATTTATATTCATGTCGTTGAGGGAATATTTAAACCAGGGCTATAATTGTGCAGCCATTTCACAACTTGCAGTTGAACTGAAAAAAGGTACAACTGAAAGTGAAATGGGTGCCAGCTCAGTGATTACAGAGGAATCAGCTGAGGTTAATATGGTTACATCATCAGCATATGTCACAACATACAAATCCCTAATCACACAGTGTAAATATTGTTGATTGGATAAAGTAATTACTCCTCTGAAACATAAGATTATGTGGATCAGCTGGCTATCAGCAAGGCTTATCCTTGACTAAGAGAACGCACCATGCTTTTCATGTACGTTCATGGATTTCATTCCAGTAAGATGCAGAAACAAAGTGTAGAGCTTCACGGTAATTCAAGTATCAAAGCTGATGTGTTTTAAACCACTCAGTCAACTATCTCTTCAGTATCTCTGTTGTCGTCTTTCTTTCTGATTTCCCCAAAGTTTTCAGTTTGATGCTCTTTTACTCCAAGTAACAACTCACGACATTCCAACAAACACACAAGAACAAAGCTCCAGGAGTTTGACTTTATCCAATTGCCAGTGAATTTGTCAGTTTGGAACAAATGCTGAGACGCAGCACAGTATCTGTCTTCTCCTTCTTTCCTTTTAAGATGTCTACCTGACTTCAGACGAGTGAAGCTCAGAGTGTTTAAGTCTGCAGGAACATTACACACACACATAAGTCTTCTTATCGATGTACATCAGATAGCTCCTCACACACTGTAGCTTTTTGTTCCTGCACACCTCTACTGTGTTTTCATTTAGCGCTCCGTTAGCGCTGGGTGGGAGATTGATAATTGCAGGGTTCATGCTGGGGCAGGGCGGGGGCCGACGCCGTGGGTGATTCATATTCCTGGGAAACACTTTGGCTCTCTGGAGAACTCGCCTGGGCTGGAAGAACCTGCATCTTTTATAAATGATTCACTTAGTTCTGCTTTATTAGGCCACAGCCGGTAAGCAATTATGTTCTCAGATAGAAACAGAGGGAGAGTGTAAGAAAGTTTGTTTTGTGAGTCGAAAAATTATCTGAACACAAGTTCCCACAAGTATCTATAATTAGACAGAAAGTATGCACCAAATAAAATAAAAAGAGATAAGGGGACACAAGAAGAGGTGGATGTAGGGAAGGAGGCATGTAGTTATCTATTAAGGGAGGGTTAGGATGGGACTAAGGTATGAGGGAGGGATGAAGGGAGCATGGGATAAACAGATGAAGACATTTAAGGAAGGAGAGATGATTGGACAAATTAGTGGGATGTAGGGATGAATGGATGGATGGAGGGATGAAGGATGTATTGATGGATGGAGGGAGGGAGGGAGGGAAGGGGGGAGGGAGGGAGAGATAAGATAATGTAGGGATAAAAGGTCTAAGGAAGGGAGGGAGGAAGGAATAAAGTGATGTAGAGAGGAAGGGATAAGTGTGTCAAGGGAATTTAATTAATAAATCAAAACACATTTAGAAATGCTGACATTTATGAAAAAACAAATAGATTTTAGAAAAACAAATACATGCAAATAAAGAGAAAGTTAAGAGAAAATTAAGAAACATACTGGTTAAAAAGATAGGTTTATTTATTATTAAATGATGTGTATATTCATGGAGTAATGATTCAAATGTATTGTGCCTTTGTAAGAAAAGTGAGAAGCTGTAGCTCAGCTGGCCATTAAACGTTGGGTTGGTGACATCTTCTGTTGGCAGGTGGAAGTATTTCTCACCAAGAAGCCTAACATTACTACTGTATGCGCATAGGGAAAAAATAAAACTCCCATGTCAATGTATGGTTATAAAAAAAGTGACTGTCCTCTTCCAGACATTTTGGGAAACATCTAATGTATCATGATCCAGAATAATAGAAACTACCATAGTAAAGAGTATAATTATGAGTGAATCCACATTTAATATAAATTACAGCTTGCCCCAGGCCAACATCGTACAGTGACAGATTGCATTGATAGACCTATGATTATGGTTGGCACTATGATTATGGTTGGCACTGTATAAACACAGCCAACTTCAATCACAGCTGCTTAAGTAATACACATATCTACCTTAAGTACTATCATTATAGACATTTCGTTAAAACACTGCTGCAACCTGCAGGCTGAAATTAATGTTAAAATGTCTCCCTTTCCCAATGAGAAAACACAGGTTTAATCATTCACAATTATTACAGTTAGGTTGTAAGGTTGATTGGAAATATCTGAGTGATACATGCTCATTTAAATGTTGCTGGAGAATACTGGGATAAGCTTATGTTTTTCCCTTTCACAAATAGTGTAATTTCCTCATGTGAAGGAACCACATGATTCTGTCTAATGTACATAATTATTCCTGTTACAGTCTACCAACTTTTTGCAGTGGCAGACAAAAACATTTGACCAAAGCTTTCCTGTGTATATTACTCATTGAAATGAATGGTCAACTCCAGCAGTGGATGTACCAATGTATTAGTTGTCATCAGGATTTAACACTGAAACATGCCCAATATAAAATGTCAGGATGTTCTTCTTATTGCATCTTGCTATATTTTTGTTGTTCTCCTGATTGACAGAGCCGTCGACCTGCATGATGTCGGAGTGGATCAGCTGGTCAGCCTGCAGTGTGTCCTGTGGGATGGGCATGAGGTCCAGGGAGCGATATGTCAAACAGTATCCTGAGGACGGCTCCAACTGCCAGCTCCAGACCGAGGACACGGAGAAGTGTGTCGTCAACGATGAATGCTGTGAGTCTTAGATGACACTTAGATTGAATCCCTTTTTTATTCATATTTGTTTAAAGGTCCCCTATTATACTGTTTTTCATCAATATATTATAGGTCTCAGATATATACAAAACATGTCTCTCAAGTGTTTGGCTCCAAACACCAAACAGATCATTGTAGCATCCCATAATCCCCTCTGTTTCAGCCCTGTTTCAAAAGTGCTGATTCTCTGTCTGTTACTTTAGATGAAAATAAGGAGCCCCACGCCCCTCTGAGAGGTATTTGGTTAAAAAGAACACAATGGTGCTCTAGGAGGAGATTCAGGTGATAAGGTGTGGGGGGGGTTGTTACCTTGGTTGGTGATTGGCTACCATTAGCCAATCACCAACCAAGGTAACAACCCCCCCCACACCTTATCACCTGAATCTCCTCCTAGAGCACCATTGTGTTCTTTTTAACCAAATACCTCTCAGANTCTTACAGCGAGTTACTTGAGTAGAGGGCTAAGAGCGTCGGTGTGTTGTTCTGCCGGTCAGTGCAACCGGTGTAAAGTGAAGAAGAAGTCTTACTTCCGCTTTCATAATTTTCTCCACTTGTTAGTGAGGTTCAGACCCTCATCCAACAAGGCATTCTCGGTCGTACCTCTAAACATCAGAAGATAAACGTATAAAAGTACCAGAATATAAATTGTCAAAAGCTGTTTGACACTCGAAAAAACTGTACTTTTACTAAATAATCTACTGTTTGTAGTATGACACAATTAAGTACCGGTGTTAAGTATTGCCTAGCTTTCTATCCCAAAAGAGAGGGGTAAAGAACAGTTATATATTAAAAAGATTTATTCCAGGTACCACCAGCGCTTCATCCACCCGCACCGCGGACCGCATTATTCGGTACCCAAACTGTTCTCTGTGCAAGGAACGACTTCCCGACCGAGTTTCCATAGTGGGAATTCTTTCTCGTGATCCCCAGCATAAGAAGTAGTTTGTGCTTCCCGTAAGATTACAACCAACTACTTGAGAGTGGTGGTAATTTGATCTAACTAGTGTCGGGGAGGCAGAGGGCGAGTATTCTTCGGGGGGCGCGGTTCTCAAGTGTTGCTTCACAGTTTTACGACACATTTTAATTTTTTTGACTTCCAAAATTATCTTTTAAATTGACAAACATCATATGTGTAATTCGTTGCACAATTCAAACGCGATCGAAAGATAATCCCCATTGACTTCAATACATACTTTTTCCGAAATAAGGTCCCGTGGAGCTCCCCCGGAAAGGGAGGGACTTGGCCTCTCTATAGTACAGCCTTCAGGCATAGACTCTGGCATTATGCAGATAATAATAAGACACACACCTCACGTTACAGGTACTGCTCCCCGGGGTGCTGCAGGGCTTCATAGTGATGCAGAGCCAGGCCTGCTGTAGCTCCATGGTGTTAGGCAAAAACACTACAGGCACATCCAAACTGACACCTTCACTGATCTGAATGCCTGCAGCCAAGATGAAAGACAGTCAACAACATTTAAAAAACAAATGTACTGCCCACTAACCTAAAAATAACGAATATAAATTAAACACCCGTGGTAACCATATCATTTTTGTCCTAATGTTGTGAAGACCATATCAGTAACTCACCTTCAGTGTGTCTCAGAGGGATAGAGAAGACCTGCTTGTCAGTAGTTATTTGATGGCAGTTGGAGGCCCCATTTGGGTCCTTATCTAAGAAGTCATATCAATACAGACAGTATTATAAACATGTGAGTTTGACGAGAACACACGTATGAGGGACAAAGTGTCTGTTAGAGAAAGAAGAGGACTGATTGTGACCTGTGAGTGAGATGTCGACCACGACTTGGAGCTCAGTGGGGTTTCTGAAGGGAATGGTGATGGAGGCGTTGGAGCCAATCAGGGATGAGATGCTCAGGGGCTCCTCGCTGTCTGGTATAAGGCCACGCCCACTAAACAACACACACCAATCCTGCAACTAAGGAAAAGACTAACACATTAACAACAGCTGACTATAACTATTTTTAGATACATTTTAGCATATGGTTTTTGAGTTATGGCCAAAAATGTTTTGAGAAGTCACAGTGACCTTGATCTTTCACCTCCAAAATCGATAGGATTCAACCCTGAGGTAAAAGGAATATTTGTGCCAAATTTAAAGAAATTATTCCTTGGCGTTCCCAAAACTCACAAAAATGGGACCGAAGGACATAAAGAACAGCTGAAAACATAATGCCTCCAGCCACACTGGTGCAGAAGCATGAAGAGAATTAAACTATCCCTGCACCTACAGTATGTGTGTCTGTGTGTATTAGTGTGTGTATGTGTGAAGGCAGGGGACAGTGATGTATGAAATGAATTTGCTCTGTGTTTGTGTGTGTATACAGTATATACACCTGAGGGCATGTGAAAGTGATCTTTGCTGCGTGGTTCCCCTTTCCGATGGATGAAGGACTGAACCGGACACCAAGCTGGGTGAAGGAGTGGGGCTCCACAATAAGCTGGAACACACACATACAGGAAATAGCTTTCATGGGGACAGTAAGAGAGCTCATGCTTAAATCCTTTAAATCACACTGCTGGGCAACTTCAAGGAAACCCACAGCTTTCCACCCAGATGCACAGCAAGTGCTTTCATTCCTATTGGAAACAAGACTCCTACATTACGTTACATTACATTGCATTTAGCTGACGCTTTTATCCAAAGCGACTTTCAATAAGTGCGTTCGACCAACAAGATACAACTTTGAAGAAAACAGAATCATATAAGTACATCAGGTTTCAGAGAGCTAAAAAATGTCAAGTGCTACTCGACTGGCTTTAGATAAGCCAGTCCTTTATTAGTATATAAGTGCTTTGTTAGTAATTCTATCGCTCGAAGTGGAGTCGAAAGAGATGAGTTTTCAGTCTGCGCCGGAAGATGTGCAAGCTAACTTATGTCCTGATGTCAATGGGGAGCTCATTCCACCATTTTGGAGCCAGGATAGCAAACCCACGTGTTTTTGCTGATGGGAACTTGGGTCCCCCTCGCAGTGCGTATGGTCAATATGTTAACGTAATCATTGTTGAGGTGGCACACGGAGTCTGAGAGCACAAGGTAGAATAATAAAGTCTTGTCTACATACATTGGCGTATGTAGACTTAAGAGTGAACGGGGACCCCTTCATGTCAATTGGTGTACGATATTGAGAATGTGGAACTTCAAGAGTTCGAGCACAAGGAAAATAATACAAGTCTTGGCTACAGACAGTGCGTATTGTAGACTTAGGAACGGGACCCCTTAATGTTAATGTAATTGAACACAAGAGAACTTCAAGCTTTCTGACACAAACGTACAAAGGAGTTTACATTAGAGGCTTTTCTTGGTGTGTCATTTGTGAATTGTTGTGTAGAAGTTTTGTTTATCCTTTGTCTTTGACGGGAGGAACGACAGAGACTCCTTGACGTGTGACGATTTCCGTCGAGAGGGAAGGAGCACAGAGTTAGGACGACCTGATACACGACGTAAGTTGTGGCCACCTAGTAGTCTAGGAGGCAAGTGTGAGAGGTGGTTCTTGAACCTCAAAGTCCGAGACGTGAAAGGGAGGAGTGGAGGTATGGAGTCTTCCTGGCGTGGATGTCCATTGAACCTCTCCCAGCTACGGCTGGGAACAGTTAGTGATGTCCCCAGGGAGTCCGAGACAGGAAACCAGGGGAGGAGAAGAGTGAACATGTGTTTCGAGCGACGCATAGACAATAATTGGGCATACCAAAAAGTATGGTGACGAGTGCGACTGCTGTTGGCGTTCAGTAAAGGCGGGCAGTCTCTGGGCCAACAACGTGCGTAGAGACGAACAGATACGCTTGTAGAGGAGTCACTACAGACGAGTGGTGGAGTTCGAGTTGGAACTGTTCTGACTTGACGAAAAGAAGCCCTTTTCTAACAGGGTGAGACTGGATTGTTAGTTGTAGCCATGGGAGAAAACAAAAGGGGCTGAGTCTGACGTTCCCTTAGACCACAACTGGGGATCTATTGTTTGACAGGAAGTGACGTTTTGTATCGACGATGTTGCGGCGCGACGTCTATGGGAGAACGTTGTAGTCCCACATATGCAGGGGAGCGGACTGGGTCTTACGCTGTGCGTCCAGGACCAGGTCCGAGAGCAGTAAGAGTGCGGATGCCTGATGACCGTTCGAGGGAGGACCGACCAGAATGGGACGTACACGGTAGGCTGGAGACGTCGAGTAGGTCGTTACGTCGCCGAGCAGACCAGAAGTTGGAAGGATTTAAGAGGGTGTGGAGACGGCGGAGGGAGGCGAGGGAATTGACCGAAGGCCATTGACGATCTTTAGGTGAGTTCTGTTTACAAGCGAATGGTAACGACGCTTACCAGACCGGGCAATGGATGTAGGTCCTGTACAAATTTTTGGCATGTGCTGGTCGTGCACTGTGAGGCGAGACGTCAGCCGGGTTTGCTGANGATAAGGTGTGGGGGGGGTTGTTACCTTGGTTGGTGATTGGCTAATGGTTACACAAGCCAAAACATCGTTATGACATCATAAGGTGTCCAAAATCTGATCAGCTCATTTTCAGACAGGTTTTTATATAAATGGATCAGGACAAAAAGAGAGAATCTTTGTTCCTGAAACTTTCAGAATCTCTTTCCACAGAGGGGACACATGTTGATGTAGAAGAGACATGAAGAAGTGGATTTTGCATTATAGGTGACGTTTAATGTTAATTTGTTCACAAGAAACATCAATACTTTAACTTGTACTAGCTTGGTGATATAGAGTGGTCCAGTGATGATGTGTTTTTGTAAGTTGACCTGGAAGTTAGCAACACAAGGGCTCCCCTGACAAAAAAACTATGCAATTTTTCCCTTGGATTTGGGGAATATTGCAGATTAAGCTCCGTGGCAAACACACATTTATGATAGTTACATATTTAGTTCAGCAGGATAATGTCCATATGTTAACATAGTTTATAATTTATTAAGCAAAAATGCAATTGCCAGAAGTAAAAAGCTAACATTAGTCTACATTACGGACCAACTAACTTCTAACAACACCACTAAGCTAACAGAGGTTAAAGTTTGGCGTGATGAGGTTTATCGGAGGTGGTAGAAGTACTCAGATCTTGTACTTTAGTAAAAGTAGAAGTACCAAAGTGTAGGAATACTATGTTACAAGTAAAAGTACTGCATTCAAAAAGTCACTCAAGTAAAAGTGCAAAAGTATACGCATCAAAATATACCTTTGTTAATCATCATGCAGATTGGTCCATTTCAGAATAATATATATGATATGTTTTATAATGATTGATCATTAAAGTGTTATCAAAGCTGGTAAAGGTGCAGCTAGTTTGAATGACTTTGTATACTGCAGGGTAGCTTGTGAACTTACTCCAGGTGGAACTAAAGTCTGATTTAACACTTGATTATATTTCACATCAGTCATCCACATCTGTAAAGTAACTGAAGGTATTAAATAAATGTAGTGGAGGAAAAGTACAAGATTTAGCTCTGAATTGTAGTGGGGTGGAAGTGCTAAGTAGCATAAAATGGAAACAATCCAGTAAAGTACAAGTATCTCAAAATGGTGCTCAAGTACAGTACGTGAGGAAATGTACTTAGTTACTTCCCCCCTCTGAGTCTTATTTAGTCAATTGTAATTGTACGTGAACATCTCTTAAACTCTTGTTAACCAGAGACCATATTTCAAGCGTCTAACCTAAAACATGTTCATAAAACCCATTGACTGCAACACCAGGAAATCAGAAGTGATGAAATACTAACTCATTTCCAGGTTTTATAACTCATTCCTGCACCACTCTATTGTGACAGTGTGTTGGCTTCCTTAAAGAGCAACCAAAACGGAGCTACGTAAATCACACGACCTAGACATTGCACCACATCTTCATGTATTCATCGTTTACATGTTTCCTATAATGACATTTCAATCATTAATGTATTGCTCCATGTATGATCATATCAGGTCTCCAAGTTGTGAGACCTTATATGGTGAAAAATGGCCCATCTGATAAGACTCATGATTTGACTTTAACAGTCAATCGAAAACTTGTCGTGGAATCTCGTAAACACTGATATACTGATAAATATTTGTGTTGTGATTTTTGTATTTTGCCCTCCTCCACAGCTCCCAGCAGCTGCGTGGTGACTGAGTGGGCAGAGTGGGACCCCTGCAGCGCCACCTGTGGCCTGGGCATGAAGAGACGTGAGCGCATGGTGAAGATGCCTCCTATTGACGGGTCCATGTGTAAAACAGAGGTGGCCGAAGTGGAGAAATGCATGATGCCAGAATGCCGTGAGTAATATTTATATTGTTTTATATCTGTTGTAGAGTAGCATAACACATACTTTTCAGGGGCATTTCTTCGTAAATTTGCACACACAAACTGAAGAGGGAGACATACACGTTTATAAGTCAGGTTCAAGCTTTATTATGCAAGTTCAATGCTTAACGTGGTAACTGCTAATAACTGTAGCATACGTGTTTAAATACTTGTGTTGACAGACAGCTTCCCCTGCATGTTGTCCCCCTGGTCTGACTGGACGGAGTGCAGTGTGACGTGTGGGCGGGGCTTGCGCACACGTCAGAGGATGCTGAAGTCTGACCCTGCAGAGTGCAGCGAGGAGCTGGAGCAGAGCGAGAAGTGCATGCTGCCCGAGTGCCGTAAGTACCTGAAGAACAAAACAGGAAATGGACATTCTTTGTGCATTTACTTTAATTTGAACCTGACATGCTTGCTTCCTGAGATTTGGGTTGTGTTTCTGACAGTTTTTAAGGTGTTATTTAACATTCATTGCGTATATAATTTGTCCCATTTCAGTCGCACCATTTAGCTTTTTATTTATTTTTTGGAAAATGCAGCTCTTATGTTTTGTTTTTTTTACTTCCCATTCCCAGTCTCTATAGTCTATAGTCTATAGATATATATAGTTTTTTCAAATAATTCAATATTTGATGATGAATACTTTAAGTCTCATGGTCAAACAATAAGCTGATTCTGTAGTAATTTAGGTTTAGTTTACACAATGTGATCTCACATTGTCCAGAAGACCCGATGAATATCAACTTGATCTCACAGAACTTAACATGATCTGCCTTTAAATTCAGAAACTCTAAGGTGTAAAAGTAAAATGAAAGTTAAACTTGGCAAATGCACCACTGAACGCAGATCAGACAAAAATGATTTTAAGTGTATCTATCAATAGATGCCACAAAGATCTAATCACAGCAAGGTTTAACCATCTGCCCCTCCTTTGTTTTTATTTTTCTGACCTTTCCTTTTGTTGTCTTCCTTTGATTCTCCAGCCGTGGACTGCATGGTCTCTGAGTGGTCCGAGTGGTCCGAGTGCAACAAGTCGTGCGGTAAAGGACACACCATTCGAACCCGTATGATCAAACTGGAGCCACAGTTAGGGGGCAGCGCTTGTCCCGAGACCATCCAGAGGAAGAAGTGCAAGATCAGGAAGTGCCATTCGAAAACAAAGGAGGAGAGGGGGGGTAGAGGAGGAGGAGGAAGGATGAGGCGACGGGGTAAACAGGGAAGAGACGGAGCGGTCGAGGAGCAGCCAGGTTAGTGGGAATAATTATGTCATTATTCTTAAAGCTAATACATGCCTCCAGAAATTGATAAATCGTTTTTCTAGCAGGTTGCAGAATGCAGCCGTGGTCCAGCTGGACTGACTGTACCAAACCATGTGGAGGGGGGATCCAGGAGCGATTCATGATGGTGAAGAAAAAAGCTAAAGGCACTCAGACGGGCAGCTGTAAGGACAGGAAGGAGATCAGGGCCTGTAACGTGCATCCTTGCTAGGGGGCACTACTGAGCCACAGATGAGGGGATACTGATATAGAAAATATGGGTTCATTTGATAAAAAGGATGATCAGAACCATTGGTGTACAGGGAGGTGAGGTCAGGGTGAAAATGGGATATACGTTTAGGTAAGTAGAGGAAAAAGAGGAGAAAGTACTGCTTAGTGAAGCCGTTATTATATTATATAGGCATGTAGTTACCAGGGCTGGCATTTACTTAAGAATACAACGGAAGTATTAGAGAGTAAAGTCTGTGTCCTGCAAAAAAATTCAGCAAGAAATGATGACGGGAGCTTTGCCTTTGATGTACGCATTTTTCTCTGGCGTATTTTCAGTAGTTTTTTTCTTTTGGGTATGAAATAGGGTTGTGATCCCTGTTGTTGGTGTTTCCAGAGAATTCTAGCCTAAATCGACTCCTATTTTCTGAAAGAAATACCTCCAAGAATCTGAGATGTTTTGCATGTGTCTGCTTTGTGCTATTATAATGACACAATAATTCCTTCTCCACACTATTTCAATGATAAAATGCTAGCTAGTTGTAGATATAGTCTCCCCTAAAATGACATTACTACAATAATATAGCTTTGGTTTTTCAGAATCTTATTCAAGCTAAAATGGCGACCTGCTTCTTTTTAGAAAAAGTAAGAAAATTAAAAAGTCCAATACGTTATTTTTGTCCTAAGAAAGTTCAATCAATACATGTGAACATGAAATAATCTCTCTCAAAGAAACCAGTGAAGCAAGTCTCGAACTTCTCCGGGAGACTGAGTTTGGGATTTGTGGATATGTACAAATAAGCCAATAAAAAAAAGGCGAAATAATGATTACATTGACAAGCGTTTCAAGCTACAGAGAAGAGTCAATGAGGACAGCAACTAAAAAATAAATCAATATAAAAATACAATATAAAATGTAGTAAATTAAGTCAAAATGCCGAAGTATTATAAGCAAAATGTACTTAAAGCAGACCTGGCGCCATTTGACATTCCTGCCCTCCCCCAATAAACACGTTTTTTTATTATTTATATAAATTTAAAAAATAATAATTTGAATTTTTTTAATTATAAATAAACTGTGAACTTTAATGCTACGATGTATGTGATGTCTTTCATGTATTACTCTTATATTACTATCTGACATCACATACATCGTAGCATTAAAGTTCACAGTTTATTTATAATTAAAAAAATTCAAATTATTATTTTTTAAATTTATATAAATAATAAAAAAACGTGNAAAAGCGAGGCTCCGTTTTCATTCTTATATTATTATATAAAGTCATTATCAATTTGTTTTAAAGCTCAATAAATAACAAAGAAGAACTTTGACCGGCACTTTTCAAATGTTGTCCGGAAGATTTGAACTTTAACGGACATGTTGACCGGCAAAAAAATATTCTAACGGGAACTCTGGGTAACACTGAGGTTAAAAGGCACATATTATGCTCATTTTATTTCATATTTGTATGTTGCGTCTCTACTGTGACATGTCTCCATGCTTTAATGTTCAAACAGCTCTTTAATTGTTTTCATACTGCCCTGTCTCCCAAATTACCTGGGAAAGAGTATAGTAACCCTAAGCTCCAAACATTAATACTCAGCACATGTAGAACGTTTGTAATAAATGAATGCAGAGAGACAGGAGACTGTACTGTAGAAGGAGAAGACATGAAATAAATGAATGCAATGTCTACTTGCAACGCTTAATGTGAGGAACCCATTTGGTTTGTATGCCCTCTGCTGTGTGTGTGAGAATGTGCTTATATAGTATGTGCTTGTTTTGTTTATCAGACTTATTATTAGCATCCTTTTGCTGTTTTTCCCGTCCAGAGGAAATGTGCGTATTTCTTTCTCTGTTGTGTGCTTTCTAACTTTTGAGGTATTTGTTTGCCGCTCCCAGAGTCTGCAGTATACTCTCACTCTGTGTGTTTAGTTCTCTCTGTAAATAGGTGTTGTTGTGTATGTCTACATCTCTCGGTTTTCTTTTGGCTTTAATGTGGTGTGAGTTTGTGGTTTGTATATCTCAAAATGTTTTCTCTATTTGTATTTGTGTGCACAATGGTTTCTCTGGAGTGTGCAAAGTGTTTGTTTGCTTTAGCTCATAATACCACATCGGTTTAACAACAGAACGGCAGGATTTAACTCAAAATCTGCTGCAACAAAAAGACACATTCCCTCTCCTATCCAAATGTTTTTCTCAGTGTGCACTTCCTTTTCCTGGTACTTGTCATTGTGTGTCAGGTGTATTCATGTTTGTGTGCAGTAGTGTTACCTGCATGGCCTGAGGGGACTGTAGACTACATTAAGTGAGAGTGTTACGATTCCAGTCTCAGGGTCCCTCCTGGCTGCTTCAGCGGAGACAGAGAGGCAGTCTTCCACATCTGAGCGCTCTGTCTCACTGTCTGAACGAACCGTGCACAGGAAGTCTTCTATCATCACCTGGGAAACTGTCAGGAAGGAAGCAGTGGGAAGAGGGTGATGCAAGACAACTAGAAATAAAGACAACCAAAACAGATTTGAGGAGAAATTAAAATGCCTGCAATTTTTGTTTAACTTAAAGGTAGGGTAGGTAAGAATGGAGGAACCAGCTCGAGTGCGCAAGTACACAACCGGAAAAAATCTGCCCCTTACTACAGACTTCCTTACAGAGCCCCTCCTCCAACACACACGAACGCACACATGACCAATGAGGGCACGAGATAAGTTTGTGCACAGATGGAAGGCCATCCAGTGATTTTAGCCGGGCCGGCTCAGATGATTGGTTGTGCTTTTTACAGTGCTACGGCTTCCACAGATGACATTTTTGTATGTATTTATTGTCAAAGCATTTAATATATTCATTGCTATCGGGATGTTAAGAGCATTCCATGGAATATAACAAAAAGTGTTGCGGTGAATTACGTACAGCACCTTTAATGTCAGAATTATAACCCTCAAAATATCCCCTCATTGTACAAAAAATGATCCTGCTTGTCCTCAATATCACAAACTGGCACACACCTTCCTGGCTTTTCCGGACTTGATTCCCCGGCACATATCCAGTCAGCAGAACATCCAACTTCCTTTCCAGCTGGCAGCCCGCTTCACAACGGAGCACGCCAAGTGGAGAGTTCTCCATAGGCAGATCCATGGGAATCCCACGGAGAGGGTAAATCCAGCAGATGGTGGACGACTCCTGCTCTGACCTGAAATATTGATTGTGAGTGTGACTCAGTAATGGGGATAAACTCTGAACCAGTACTAGATGTGAAAACCTGTCAGACATATTACTAATGTAGAATATCTGTGGCAAGAATCTAATAAAATACCAACAATTGTGTTCAGAAGGTCAGATATAAGATTTTGAACTTTTACAAAGCTGAGGAAAATAGATGCTACATTTATTTAGCTGAGAAGTTATAACCCTTCTGCTTTGCCTGCATGGGCTCTTATGAGGGGAAGGAGGCTGTGATCAATCCATTTAATGTGGTGAGGAGTTGAACAACAAACTAAATGCCCTTTTTATGAGAAGTCGACCATTATCTCTTTTTAAGGTGAAAGGTTTTGATGAGCCAGCCTTAGCAAGGAAACTGTGTCTCTGTCAAATATGCTTATAGAGAGGCGAAGTCACGCCCACCTACTTCCGACCCATGGGACCTTATTTAGAAAAAATTATATATTGAAGTCAATGGGGAGAGAAAACCTATCTTTCGATCCCGTTTGAATTGTGCCACGAATT